TTTCTTGCAATCTGACCGTCGAGCAAAGAAGAATGTAGCTTACATTAAAAATAAAAATAAATTCAAAAGAAAATTGTATTGGATTAAACGCCTGAATCTGGACGTGTTCTTTGCAAAGGTGCAGAAAGCAGATCAATCCAGATTTTCTGCACCTCTCCATAGACACGTCCAGATTCAGAGGCATGTACGAGATCCAATGCTCTTGGATAGTGGGACCTGCTAGCTAGTAGTAGTAAGGCTCCCGGAGCAAAATTGAGCACAGAGAGTACAAATCCTTTTTTTTCCTTTTTCTTTCCTTTTTTTTCCTTTTTTTTCCCTTTTTTCTTTCCTTTTTTTTCCTTTCACCCCCCCTTTTTTTTCCTTTTTTTTCCTTTTTTTTTCCTTTTTTTTCCTTTTTTTTCCTTTTTTTTCCCTTCTTTTTCCCTTCTCTCACGAGTTCCACCCAAAAAAAAGGAACCGCTGACGACATTCAGTACATACATAATTTAAAAATTAAAAATAAATAAAATCAAAGTTAAAGCCCTTGAACGCGGTCAAGTTTATCGGCGAATACCTGCCACGTGGCGGAAGCGTCCACGCATATAACTGCGAATAAGCCGCGAACAACTCCGGAAATTGCTTAAAAAAAAAGAAAAAGGAAAAACGGATGGATGATACGATGCAAGGGGGAAAAGGAAAAACAAAAACTCAAAAACGTTTCTTGGCCATCGGTATTTAAAAAGGAAAAGCAGATAGGAAACGGTATTAAAAAAAAAAAAAAAAAAAAAAACATTGGCCATCGGTAGATACCTTGGTAGATACATCGGTAGAGACATCAAGCTTGACTACCTTCTTCCCCCCGAATACAACGTACGGTCATTTAAGCTGTATTTGGCGCATCTTTCCGTCTAAATACAGCTATAGTCACCACCATTGGTTGTATTCGGGGGAAGAAGGTTACCGCCATCGGTATGCCATCAATAGGCCATGGGTAGATACATTCATCGGTAGATACTACCGTCATTTAAGCTGTATTTGACGTATCTTTCCGTCTAAATACAGCTATACTCACCACCATTGGTTGTATTCGGGGGAAGAAGGCACGGCCATCTGTAGGGTAAGCCATCGGTAGGCCATCAGTAGCCCACCGGTAGATACATTCATCGGTTAGATACATTCATCGGTTAGATACATTCATCGGTTTAGATACATTCATCGGTTAGGTTAGATACATTCATCGGTTTAGATACATTCATCGGTTAGATACATTCATCGGTTAGATACATCAGAGTTGTTCTCTTACCCTCCTGATGAGGCTGGAATCTGGACTTCGCCGAAACCGAGGGCTAGCTCCCACTTACACCAATTACTAGTATTAAACGATATTGACCGTAGATAGCCAAGATCAACGGCCAGGCCAGATTCTCCTAATCACCGTGCAAGTGAAACCTTACCTTGCCCCGGCAGAGGGAAGCCAGCCAGACTACTGCCGTCCCCGCAGTGGGCCATCGTCGTAGCCATAGCCATCGCCATAGCCATAGCCATAGCCATAGCCATAGCTTGAGCTTGAGCTTGAGCTTTAGGCTAGGCTATGGTGCTGTGTACTCTTGGTCCATCTTGTTGCTTAAATAAATATTTCAAATATTTCAAAGAGTTTTCCATACCGAGATACGCATATTGATAGGCGTGTTGCTTGCTTTGCATGCAGCAAGATTGTGTTTTCTACGTATGGCTGATGATCTCAGTGCATGCTGACGTTGGCTCTTCCTCTAAAAGTCCAATCGGTAGATAAGGGACAGCTTATCATTAAATTCGACCCATCCGTCGCGTGAGGATCTTTCAGATTCTCTCTATTATTCGCCAATGAGAAATGTATAGGAGAAAGGAAACCTTTGACTCTCTCTCTCTCTCTCTCTCTCTCTCTCTCTCTCTCTCTCTCTCTCTCTCTCTCTCTCTCT